TGTCTTTGGTAACTGTAATGATTTCCTTAACACATTTCAAATGAGCTGATTTTATCCCCTTCACTGTCTTTCATGTGATATGGATAATTTTAAACTTGGTTTCCAGTGGCTTAGTGGTTGAACTGCAGTACTGGAGTCAGGCCTCTGCTCATGATCCAAGTTTGATCTTGATAGTTTCAGGGAGACAGACTCAGCCTTCCATCCTTCTGAGGTTGGTAAACTGAGTACCTAGCTTGCTTGGGGGCAAAGTGTTCCTCGGGTAATTATGTTGTAAATTGCCCAGAGTTTTCTCTATCACTCTGGGGTTGTATGTAAGTTGAAACAATACATAAATAATAAAACATATATCACATTAAAAATAATGCAAATATGTGCCATAAAGGCAAAACAGTAGGGGCCAAGTGTACTGCTGGAGGAAGTACATGCTGCAATTTGAGAGTGACACAAAACAAAGGCCTTTTCCCATGGGCTTGGCATGTGGTCTGCAGTGCATGTGGTCTGTTGTGGTGTACTGTATTTGTTTCTTAGCAAGCTGTGAGGTCAGGAGAGACTAAAATTCAAGAAGCACAAAAATGAGGCTGACCTCATTAGAATCAAATTCTAAATTTCCAGAAGATAAGCAGGCTCAGAGGAAAATCCTCAAATAGGAAAAGTAATCTTTTGAAATAAATCACTGGATTTTTAACTATCTAGAGAGCAGAACCGTACCAGGTTTGTTGATTCTGACACTCCTGTGAAACAATGCCTCTACTAAAGCACTGCAGGGAAAGCAGTGTAAGCTTTGTATAGGACAGTACTATACTCAGAAGTAAGCCCAAATGAATTTGATGGGACTTGCTGTTAGAGAAGTAGTGTAAGATTGCAGGCTGAAAAACCATTTCTTCATAGGTCACCAAACAGAAAAAAAGGGGAGGGATTATGTAACTAGGTGAAAGACATTATAAAGGGAGAGAGATCTAAAGGGTTTTTTTTGGGGGGGAAGGGGGTTATTATATACTCTTGTAAGAGACAACTCGAAGTCAAATGTGGTCATTCAATAGAAACATTACCTATAAAACACACAATGGTGTATGCTGAGATGTAAGTGGAGGTAATTGCACAGTAAGTAAAGACAACACAGCCCTCTCCTTGGGAAGAAGCTATATTGAGCAATGAAACCTTGGACCACAGTATTTTCTGTGCTTTTTTTTTGTTTGCTGAAAAAATGCAGGAGGTAACAAAACATAATACATTTAATCTGGTCTATGCAGACCAAGCAATTGTTTGAATAGTGCCAGCTAATTAGTAAAAATGATAGCAACAACTTGACAGTAAGTGATTTTTAAGATTATAAAGAGTAAAAAGGAGAAATTAAGAGGCTGGATTTGAATTCATTGTTCTGAACAGATACTTCTAGAATAGCATAGGCTGGATTATTATTTGAATTATAGTAGATAATTATGATAAAATTTGAATGATCTTAAAACTACAGAGTTGGAAGAGACCCTATGGATCATCAAGTCCAGCCCATGTCAAGGAGGCACAATGCAAAACTGAAGTCCCAACTTCTGTCTCTGCAGCCAGTTTTCCCGTTAGTCGGGCAACACATAAGAACGTGTTTTGAGTCTGGCTGATGATGTCCCATTATACCGGAATGTGTATGGGGTGAGGGTTGAACTGCTATTGACACAATAATACTGGTATCTACTAGGACTGTTTCATTCTTCACTTCCAGTCCTGCATTGATAAGGTTGCTTTGTTTATTTCTCTTGATCACAGCTACATGCACCATGTACTAGAACACTACCAAATAAAAATTAATATCAAGTGTACATGTTAGATCTTTGTCAGTGATTACTATATATTATTTTTAATATTGATATACCACCAAAATCTCATTTCATCTTACAGTGGTTTGCAATCATATTGTATTCTGTAGGGATACACAGAGATGTTTCTGAAGTGTATTTATGTTGAGACACAATACCTGCTAAAGGATCTCCAGTACTGATGTGAAGGGTCATTTAAATTTCAACTTGTTAGCATCTTCCATATAATAAATGTGTATTTTATTAATTTAAAATATTTTTATCTCACCTTGGCCCTAAAAAAAAGACCCAAGGCAGATTATATAATTTAAAAAATACAATATTTGAAAGCTTTAAAAGTACATTATACAAATACTTTAAAAAAACACTGTATTAAATTTTTTTAGATAAAAACATTACTAAAACAGATTTAAAAACAACAAAAATACAAACCATCCAGTTGTTTTTAAAAAACCCCTCTTACATAGCCAGTTGCTAAGGGAAAGCCTCTCTGAAGGGAAAACGTGCTTGCAGAAGGACCGAAAAAATGGGGCCAGCCAGGCCAATTGTGGGAGGGAGTGCCAGAGTCTGGGAACAGCAACAGAGAAGGCCATCATCCACTCCCCCCCCCCCAATATACCTGTGAAATTGGTGAGACTGAGAGAAAGGCCTCCCCTGATGATCTTAATGCCTGGAAAGTTCATAAAGGGAGATATGATCTTGGTGATAGCTTGGACTCAAGCTATTTAGGGCTTTAAAATCCAGCACTCTGCATTGTGACCAGAAATGGATCAACAGCCAGTGAAGCTGCTGGAACAGGTGCTTGCTTCATTTTGGATCCACTGACACTTCTGAGCACTTTCCAAAGTCAGTCCCATGTACAGTAATCCAGTAGGGATGTAACTAAAGCATGTGTCGCTGTAGCTAGATCAGACCTCTTCAGGAATGGGCACAGCTGGTCCACTAGTTTTAACTGCACAGATGCACCCCTAGTTGCTACCAAAATAAAGTATAAAGTGACCTTAAAATGGAGGGCTATCTGGCATATTAAATATTTTCAATCTATAATCTATCCAAAAGTACAGTATTCTAAAAATTGGAATATTTGGTAACCCAGCACTATTGCTAAAAGCAAGCATAATAATCTAAGAAGATTTAAAGGAAAATGTTTGAGGGGAGGGGGAGAAACTCTCTGAGATAAATGCTCAATTTCTGGGTTTCCAACTAAACTGATAAACATAGATGTCCAAAAAAGCCAGCTGTTCTTTTTCATTTGTTTGAAGTGCAGCTGGAATAATGCCCACAGAGCCTCCACCAAAATACTTTCTTTGAAAGCAGCTTGCTAATTGTCTTTCAAGGGATTAATCCCACGCATATATAAAACAAGGGCACTGGTGCCACCTAATGGTCATAGGTTGCAGTTTTGCACTGTACATCCACACCACCACATGAACATGCACAAATCAAGTACATATAACTCAGTGGGTTGAAACATCTGGCTGGGAGCCTGAATCTTCATTGTGCCTTGCTGAAGAGGGATTTAGCCTTTGGTTGTGTGCCTTGATACTTGTGCAGCCTTGGAGAAATTGCATGGTCCCAGAGTACCACTGGACAAAGGGAGTGGTAAACTACTTCTGAGTATTTTTTTAAAAAAGGACAAAAATGTTGTGGTACCTTAAAGATTAATGGCTATATTTTAATGTGAGCTTTTGTGGACACATCTACTTCCTCAGTTAGCCTTTAAAGTGCCACAATATTTTTTCTTTTTTTCCCTTTTGTTTTTGGCTTGATATGCCTGCACAAATTACCTCTTCCAAAACTACTTCTGAGTACCTAGGAAACTGTGGGATGAATCACCATAAATTGGAACTCACTTGATGGCAACACAATTGTCAACTACTACACTGACCCTATATGTGTGAACGATGGTTCAATGGGCAAAAAATTTTGGGTACAATATTGACTTAGAAAATGGCAAGGGCTGTGGTTTAGAAACTATAAGATGACAATGGCAACATCTTATAAAGAGAATCTATATAAAATGTTTTATAGATGGCATTTACCTTCTGATAGATTGGCTAAGATGTACTCTAACAGGTCAAGTAAATGTTGGAAATGTCATAAAAAAACTGGAACCTATTATCACCTCTGGTGGACTTGTGATAAAGCAAAAAATTTTTGGAATAAAATACATACATGGCTTGTTAAAATAATTAAAAAACATGTAGATTTTAGGCCAGAGCTCTTTCTGTTAGGTATAATACCAGAAAGTGTTGATAGACAAAATGTATATTTAATACTGCATATTCTAACAGCGGCGAGGATTATTTATGCACAGTAGTGGAAAAATGAAGGAACATCTACGGATCAAGAAATAATTAAAAAGATATTGGACTGCGCCGAAATGGACAGACTAACACTGAAAATCAAAGGAAAAGAAGATACAAAATATTATCAAACATGGGACTTATTCTATCAATGGTTAGAAGGATGTTGTATAGATTAGGAGTGTAATGTGTGTAGTAGTTGTTTTACAAATGATTATAAGCTGTACCCTGGTGACACGATGTTAAACCAGTATGGATGGATTTATATAATAAAAAAAAGTTTTAAAAAAATAAATTGTTAATGATTTGTTAATAAGAATGCATGTACAAGTACAAATAAATTGCACTGAAGGCAACAACAGTTTCAACCACTCCAGTCTTCAAAGCCTACAAACTTTAGAGTTTTCCTGTTGTACCTTTAAAAACAGAGACCTGATTGAGCATCTGTCTTTTGAAATGGCATATACATGCTTTGACCACTAATTTCTAGATTTTGGGGGGAAAACATTCAAAAGTAATTTGGCACAGGAAATACCATCTTTGTTGTTTGCCTTATTATATTTTTATTAAACTAATTTCCTTAAAAAACTTTCCAAAAGTGATTATCAGTTTGTAGTCTACTGTAACAAAACAAAGAATCTTGCGCCATCTTCAACAGAAATCCATTTTATCAATGGAAGCTTTCACACATTGTCTTACACTTGTTCAAATGCAGAAGTGGGCTACAGCCCATGAAATCCTGTTATAGAACTAATGCTTTTTTTAAAACAGAAACTCTTATTCTTAAACTATTTACTGCCTTCTCTTTTCTATTCTGATTCCATCCAGGGGTTACACACTCCTTTGCTGAAGAATGCTACAAAGAATAGGTAGTTTCCAAAATTCATCTATTTAAAATACTGTTTATTTGTGATTTAACATTAATTAGCATTACATCTATGAGCAATTCCCAAACATTTATATATCTTTTTCCACAGGACACAGAGTTGGCTGGCTCATTCTTTATGCCAAAGCAAGTAAATAGAGGCATTAGCAAAAAAGGTGCAAATAGTTCATGGTTGCATTAAAAAAAAATATTTATGCACATTGCATTCATTTAGATATATTTTTTTAAAGTTAAGAAAAGCATAGTTCACAGGTTACTGTTTCTACATATGTTGTAATACAACACAAAAAATGTAGAACATAAAGTTAAGCAACTTAGAAATTCCCACTATTTTTTTAAAAAAGAGCACACTGATTCCAGTATTTTGAACTCTCTAGAATATCGTTTCCAGAGTCACGCCAGCACTGCATTGTCACACTTACACAGTCAAAGCTAACCAGCCCTGTAACATGCTATAGTCATTTTCTGCATGCCAAACCACGCCCCAGCCATATTTAACAATCTATATACGGTATATATTTCAACTGGCAATCTGGGAGTCACTTTGATATTGGAGGTGCATTTGCTTTTGTGGCTATTAATGTACACAAGCTAGTTCAAAGGCCTTCAGTTAAATTTCCATGTTTAGCGTGTATATACATGTTCTTTTTGTTTGTTCAGGTCCAAAGCAAAATAAAACTACCATCAAAGAGAAGCAAGTGGAAGGATTGGCACCAACAGTGCTAAACTAATTGGTTCCAAGATACCTTGAAAAGGTCAAACGCAGACTAAAATGTTCCTATTAGCATCTATGATAGTAAAGGGGGACATGTCGAACTCCATATGAACCTTGATTTTGTAATTTTAAAATATGAAACGGCTGCTTCATCATTTAAATCATTTAATAAAAATACTGTACCCCCCAAAATCCATACCATATATTTTATGAAAAATAATCCAGAAGTTACTACTCTCTCTATTCCATGCCACTATCCTTTCCATTTCACTTTCCCTTTTTCGGTTTTGTCTCCTTCATTTGGTTATGGGCCTTTCCAGATGATCAGTTTATAGTCTAACACGTATGTGCTTGCTGCATATTTCACTGCATAGGATCCAACCTCTATCCTAGGAAGGACATCTGTTGTGGAGATACTACGCTCAAATGGCTACAGAGTTTCCATTCAACAACACTACTCTTTCCCTAAGAGGGCTACTGCCACCTGGAGTGATGTGGTTGCACAAGTGGCATGGGCACAAACTGTGAGTGTGAGATGCCACTGATCAGTTGTATGTTGCTCAGAAACAACAAAACTCTTTGCTCTCAAGAGCCTTGTTATTCTGTGAGCCTAGTACCAGCGCTTTGTCTGGAAAGAAGCAGTTGATAGAGGATTTAAAAATGAGTGTCTCAAAACAAAGAGTGGAGAAATCCCTTATGGTTTTAACTTCATCAGTGTGTCCTTAAATCTTTGCCTTGAGACATTAATCGAGCTTGTTTCAGGCATAACCTAAAAAGTCTACAATAAAGCTGGGACACCTCTTGAACTGATCTCCTGGATAGGCCATATGTTAATGAGATTATTTTTCTTCATTCAACAGCAATACCATGAGGAAAAAATATAGGAAGATTTAAACTTGAATCCAGTTACATTTATATGGTTTCAACATCTGGTATCAGAAATTCTGGATTCCTAAATTATATTTAAGTATACTCTACCCCAAGCATCCTTAAATACGTTCTACTGTTAAATGCTTGGTTTACATGCCTATAATACTTTATACTGAGTGGTATACAAAAATTTCAACATATAAAATTCTTTTTTCTGTTTTGCCATAGTTAAACTAAGTTATCAATGTTAAGAGTATAAAATCCCCTTTATTGAAAAATAAGGGCTTTTCCCCTGCCCCCCCAACTGATAGAATAAAAAAGTTTTCAAAAATTATATCTTACTAAAACAAAATATTTGGCAAAAGTTGTTGACGAATGCAATCTTTACAGAGTTTGTAAAATTCCAAACTCAATTCCTTTTACATTTTTCCCCTTTAGTATTATGTGCCAGTGTATAATGAATGACCTACTCTTAACAGTGTGGAAAGAGGCACCCTCTGAGGCAGGGATACAACAAATGCTATGGTCAAGATCACAATACAAAGAAGTTTCATTCAATTACACAGTGAGGCAGTAGATTAAAAAACTTACATTTTCTGATAACTCAAGAGCTACCTTAGTGAAAACTGTGCTGAAGATTTTCTAAATAAAAAATCCCCATGTATAACTTGCTACTATAAGGATATTTGAAATTACTACAGTGCTATCTTACAACACCTGCTAGTGTCAAATTTGTGATGGAACTATTCAATATTCCAAACTCTCATAGTAACTGTTACTCATACTAATTAAGAGATGAATTCCTTGCGTAATTAACATAAAAAGTGATTCTATTTTCTTCCAGTTCTGTTGTCAGGTTAAGGCCCAGTTTCCTGCATAACCCTACCTAAACTGACCATATTAATGGCTGACTAAAAAGTGGGTTTTAAATGTGCAAGGTAGCTTTAGGCTTCTACCTTTTCCTTCTTTTTGTTCTTTTTTAGGAAAGATGGAGTACGGAATTTCTTCTTCTTCTTTGAGGGTGATTTAGAAGGTGAACCTTCAGGAGAGAGGGCCTCCTCTATCTTTTCAGAGGTCTTAATTGTAATCTCTACATTCTCTACAGTACTGGTGGTTAATTGGCTGACTCTCTGTGCAAGATCCTCTTCAGTATCATGTGCATCTTCTTTGCCATTCATCACCACCACTGGGAGATCCATAGAGATGAGGTTATCATCCTGTAGATAATCATCATTATTTTCTGGAGAAGGAAAAGTGGGAGAAGTTTTACTCTTCATTGCACAGACAGTTGCACACAATTCTATAAAGGGATAAAATGCAAACTGGATTGGGACCCTGAGAGAACAATAGTAAAACTTTGTATTTGGGAATGGGCTCCTTTCAATTATCAGCATTCTTTCTTTGTCACTCGCCTACTCTCTTTTTATAATAAAAAGGTATCAGAACTTAAATTATAAACAATATTAAGTATTGGACTTCTAGGATGAAGGTTTTTAAGTCATGTTTTGCACACAACCAAACATTTACAGATTACACCTCCAATAAGAATGTGATGCAACGACAATCTCACCAGAGCAACATCATGGCCTGTTATGTTAGCCTGACGTTATGAGGCAATGTACACAGATAATGTTGGAAAAAACACATGCATGATTTTTTGAAAAGATACAAATACAAATTGGTGCTAGAATAGTAGTTCAACATCATGCTGGATCTCTGGGTGATGTGTCCTGAAAGATGAATGAGATGACAACCAACATTTATCTGAGATTTTATATAACCAACAATTCTAAAATCTAGTCTCCACATATTGATGAGGCCTTTATAGTTTCCCTATATCATGATTATTGTATAATTTCTGGGAAATTCTAAAATAACTGGCAAAGGGTACAATAGGCTCACAATATTGTACAGGACATTACGATGTATACCTTCTAATTTGTCAGGGATATTTTGTGGGGATTGAGTTTGAGAGTTAATTTGTGAAACAGATGACCCATCATCTGAGAATAATTCCTGATCAGCATCTGTAGGACAAGAGCCTGAGTTAGTAAAAGCCATGCCAAATTAAATTTAGCAAAAAATGACCCGTTTACATTAGTGCATACCAAACACAAGCAATTCTAGTGTCATTGACCTGATCATGCTAAAGTTATAACACAGAATTAGATCATAACTCCATCCTATTAGTAACCTAGAATTATTAAATATATAATACACAGTTGCCCCAAAATATTTAGAAGAAAGCATTCCATGAGAACATACTTTGATTTAGTGGTGGAACTGTTATTATACAACATAGACAGTACAATCTATGCATTGTTAGTGCTGGAAATGCTAGTGTTAGACAATAGCAAATTAGTGATTCAATTATCAAAGACCTTTATCAGATGCTTTTAATGAAGATGGGTGGAAAAGTTTATTGAAATACAGTATTTTTACCTTTGAATCTTTATGCTTTCAAAAATAAGAAATTGGCAAGTTAGAACATTGCTAGCTATAATACGAAGATTGCAGGCAACAGAACACACTATTGTCAGGACTATTTTGACTGAGAAAAGATGATTTAAAGTTTCTTACTTTTTACCCTGCTGATTATACTGGGAGACCTTGTCAATATTTCCTAATTCCTTTCAACTGAGGTTTAAGATTGTTTTCCATATGCTCACATGCTCTTATACTAGTAACATGCCGAAGCAATGTAACAGTAAAACAGATATCACTAAACAAAACTCTTCATACAGCTGAAATGTTATTCTTATCTATCTTTATTCTGTACATTGCAGAAGCAGAAAACAATAATTTTACTCTAAGACAACTAGAGTAATGTTCCAAGAACTTCAAAGTGATGAGCAGAAAGGATAAAATTCAGAAGGGGAAACAGAAGGTTTTGGGGTTTCTGAGAATGGCTGCATGCTTAAATGAAGTGGAAAAGGGTCAGAAAGAGAACAACAGCATGATTCGGAGTAAACAGGAGAGGAGACAGTAGTCAGGAATTGAGAGGAAACAGAAGAATTAGATGAAAATGAGAAGGTATTTGTGAGATTTCAGTAGATTGCATCAGTTTGTTACTCAAAGAAGCAATGATCCAAGCAGAGACAGCAGAGTGTGTGAACAAGTCAGTGTGTGTGTTGGCTTGGACAGCAAATTATTGAAAGTTCAGCAATTATTGTTCTATTGAACCTGTATAATGATACTGATGATCCAGATGACGACCCTGGCATCCAAATTAGATTTCTGAGCTACAGACAGCATATAGTAATTTTATGTTTCCATTGATCTAAGCAGGTTCTACGCATGATCCTCTTTATACCCACAATGAATGCATGGAAGGTGTGGAGGCTAGTCCTATCCACTATCATTACACTCCCCTTAAAATCCATTTGAGGTACACTAGGAGTTCTCTCTGCATACAATTTTATGTGCATAGGGGTTCTACACATGACAAAGGATTGTAGCCAATCAGGGGCCCTTGTGTGTGCAGAAGTTCTCCCTGTGTACATCTGTACATAAAGAAAACTCTTTCCAAAGAACATCAGCAAGACACAGGTCAGGAAGCATGTCTGTACAAATACCCTGGTCTCATTCAAGTGTGACAATTCTTTCTAAAATGCATATGAATGGATAAGAAATATAAAAGGTTGCGTTACTAAGAATGTCACAGATAATAATTTAATATAGTAACATTTGGTTCAGGAATTTAAAACAATTCAAACTCACTGCCTTAAAACTTAAATTGCTGATGGAAACATTCAGGTAATCGTAACACTTACCCTCTATTCCTTGTTGCTTGCGTTCGATTGTCTTTTTGTACTCTTCCAGTTCTTTTTCAGTGAGATGACTGAATGGATTAGGAGGTGCTGGAGGAGCATGTTCATCTTCTTCAAACTGCATGGGCTGGAACAGAACATAAAATATTTTAGGGAGTAAAAAGCCAACTCTAAACAGTAAGCTTTAAGAGTCAAAACCAATCATACTAAATTCCCAGATCTTACTACTAAGTGATAACATTTCTTAAACAAGAACCTTAAAGCAGACCCCCACACAAAATTACACAAAACCCCAAACCAAACCAAAAGCCCATCAAGATGTGAATTGCCACAATTAACAGACACTATGCATATGGAAAGGTGCTTTCATGAACACATCACATTTCCTGCCACAAGTAAAAAGTTTTAAGTAGTGACTTGTAGGGTACGAAAAGCCTGCCCAACGTTTTCTTTAAAATGCTATAATTCTTCTAGCCATTATTTTCCTGATTTGAATTCTGAGATTTACTAGAATATCTGACTGAAACCTTTTACATTAGAGAGTCGAATGAAGGCACAACTCAACTAAAAGTCATTCAGACATAAAATGAATGTTTCTCCAAATATGCATCTGTTTACCCATAATTTAGTTAAAACATTTGTACCTTGTTGTGTTTGGCTTTATTTTATTATGTTGTAAGCTGCCCAGAATAGTGCTCACATTAATGGGGCAATATATAAATTAAAGAACATGAATTTAAAAAATTAAAATAAAATAAATACTCTGCTTCTTTTTTTTCAAGTGGTTTCCAAAGGCAAGGATACAGATTCTTGTAGATGAACAAGACTGAACTTTAAACACTGAACATGCTTCAAAGGATAAAGTTTAAGTTTAAACAATGGATGCACTTACAGCACTAGGCTTTTTATCCACAACAATCCCAGCAAGCAACTGAGACTGTGGACCAGCAGTCTTTAAGTCATACCGATTTTGCTCCCGAATCTGAAAGGACAAATAAATTATTCAGTACAGTATTTTTGTTTTACAAATGTTATGGAAGTATTAGGAATCACAGAGATGCCAAGACTATCTACGAAGTTCCTATTATTTGCTTTTATTTTCTCAGGATAAACTGAAGTTTTGAAATTAAAATGTCAATGTAGAGTTTTTAATATTTTGTTTGAACATGCATTTAACATATAATCTATATGATTATCAATGGATTGCTTCCAGCCTTGCAGTGCTAATGTTATTATTATTATCAACATATATCCCAATATTGCTCTGGTTCTATGAATTCTTTCTCTCTCTTCATATTTATATTTCTCAGTCATGGGTAGCAAGGTGACAAGAACCAACTCTCCTTGATTCAGAAATCAGGGTAAGATAAGGGAAATACATTTATAGCATTAAGATTTTCATAAAAATTTGTGACAGTCAGGTTACCAATTTAGCACTTCTTTTGAACAAAAACTGCTAGCTAGCCTTAAGTCATACATTTGGTGTGAACCAGTTTCAATCTTAAGTCCTTGCTGCAAGTTAACATTAACTGTGGCCCTTTGAAAGCTGCAATTCATCAACTGCCTTTAGAGCCTTTGAAAATCCAGGTAGAAACTCGTCATCACAGCATTCTCTGTATCTTGTTGTAGTGCTCACCACATAAGATGTGTGGTACACACAGCCAACATCATCAGGAAAATCAAACAAATACCAGTTTCCCACTTTGACACTCAAATCTGCCTGAAAAATCTGAATATCCAGAACTGATAATACTATTCTAAGCTCATATTCAGATGATAATGCGATGTTGATCCTTTCCAAGAAAGAGTTAGTAATATTTTCTGAACCCAGCTAATTCCCTAAGGATAGTGTTGTAGCCCTTTGATCATTAGCAGATGTGAAGGAAAAAATTCCCAGAACCTCTGGATGAAACACTGTATATTTGGCAGAACAATTGTTTCCTAGGGTGGAGTTTGAATTTGTATGGAAATCAAAAAATACATTGGGGAGAAAATGCAGCCAGCAGTCTAGGCGTACAAAGAGTCCCTTGTCATTGCCATTGTTAAATACACACTGCCTGATTGGAAGCCAAGCAGGGAAAAAACAGCAGGGTTCAGAATACGAGGGCAGACCACCTCTTGTTGGAATTGACTAGCTTTCCCTTCAAAACTAAAAAAGAAGAGAAGCGCCAAAATAGCAGAATACAGTATTAAAACAGCAGAAGGAAATTGTGGCCAAAATTCTATCACTTAGCATAGAAAATTGCATTGCAAAAGGCCCATTCATTGACTCAGTGGTGATTTTGTGTACATTTTGCTGATCCAGATGGGTCTTTTCTTGCTGCGACTTGTATTAGCATAGTAAGTCATGGTAAGAGTAGGCCCATTTGACTTACAAAATCCCCAATGATTCAATGGGCATAGGTAAAGGTTCCCCTTGACATTTAGTCCAGTCAAGTCTGATTCTAGGGCGCGGTGCTCATCCCTGTCTCCAAGCCATAGAGCCAGCATTTGTCCATATACAGTTTCCGTGGTCATGTGGCCAGCATGACTAGACACGGAACACCGTGACCTTCCCACCATGGTGGTACCTATTTATCTGCTCGCATCTGCATGCTTTGGAATGGCTAGGTTGACAGGAGCTGGGACAAGCGACGGGAGCTCACGCTGTCGCGTGGATTCGATCTTACGACAGCAGGTCTTTCAACCTTGCAGCACAGAGGCTTCTCCGTTTTAACCCACAGCGCCACCTCGTCCCACTCAATGGGCACTCTCTAATGCAATCTTCTACACTAAGCAACAGGATTTTGGCTATTATTTTAAACGTTTCATGGGCTTAATAGCATTGTTGTTTTTTAAAAAAAAGATTTTCGTGAATGAAATTATGACAGTTTTGCCAGTATGACATATTCAGCTGTATTCTTCTGTGCTTTAAGGCAATTTTCAAATTAACTACGAAATGTTATGATATTTTAGAGGGCAACAAATAGCTTTTAATGTTACTCAAACAGGAAAAATTAAAGATGTTTGTTTACTGACTATTTTCCAAAAATACATGGGATAGATCTTCATGAAAACTGTCATACCTTATTTCTTTTCTCCAGGACATCACTTGGATTTGTATTCAGAGGGACAAATTGGTTTGGATCTTCAATTTTTATTGGAGTTCCTCCACTAACCTTAGATGGATCTTCAGCTTTTACCCACTTGAGAAAGTAGGAGGAAAAAAGAAAAAATGCAATGAGAAAAGAGATTTTTTTGCTGCAGGAAAAGAGTACAGTTTAGTGGTTAGAAAAAAATTACGGGTATCTTTAGGATATATTGGGGTGTGTTCAAAGCTATGCAGGTGGCTGACTAACAACACTTAGCCATGCAAGGCAGCCATTTCAGACAAGTATTACGGTGTAATAGTCCTCTATTTTGAGATTTGTTTAGACATTTTGAATTACGCATAGGAAAAGAACAATAGTTTAGACAACAATATAGGAAGCATACTATTTAAATATCTGCAGTATTTCTCTTGCTGAAATACTCCACAGAACATCTTAATCTGCTATCCTGATATTTTGTTCTTTGAACTATAGGTACTGTATTTTAATTTTCTTTTTAAGCAGTATTTCTCATTGTGATGCTCACTTGAAACTGCTGATTTCTAAAAGTTGAATTTACTAAGCCACCAGCAGGTGGGGAAGTGGAGCTATTTTTTTAGAGTCAAGTTTATGCTGAGGCTAACAATGTGACAGCCTCAGCTATCATCATCCTCATCATGTGTCGAGTCAGTTCTGACTTATGGCTACCCTTTTCAGGATTTTCCAGGCAGAAAATACTCAGAAGTGGTTTACAATTCCCTTCTTCTGGGAGCATCCTGGGACTGCAGCTTGTCCAAGGCCACACAGGCGGTCTCTACTCCCAACCTCTGGCTCTTCCGCCAGATATCTAAACCACCGAGCTATCCAAACATAACTTTTATCCATTCTCTTGGAATATTAGCAAAGTAACATCCTTGGGACGGTGAGGGATATTCTTTGCAGTACAAAACTTGTCAGAAAAAATATCTGGACACAGAAAGACATGCATGAATAAATAATCTGGCCCTGATCAAAGACAACAGCCTAAGGTAATGAATGGTATGTACAGTGTGGCCAGCAGCAGTTTTGCTTTAAAACCTCTCTTCCTCACTCACAAATGTTACACTGTAGGAGTCCTGACATGGTCACATTTAAATGAGCTGTTCTCAAGAAATGCAAAACAGTTTCCAGCTGCCCTATACCAGGTTAGGTCTTTGCTTCATTCTGCTCAGTACTCTTGACACTAAGATGGATCTTCAGCTTTTATCTACTTGATAAAGAGTCCCCTGGGGCTTCAGATTCGCCAGCTGTATCTGACAGTGTCAGAGATTAAACTGGGTAGCTTATGTATGCAAGGCATGTGCTGTACTACTGAGTTATGGGCTAAGCAAAACAAGGAGGGAGGAAAGGCGTACAGCTTGGAAAGGTTGTATTTTGCTCTACTACTGACAGAATCCTGCAGCTAGCATGGCTACTGTCCATTCTTGCTAGCATGCTCTAATAACTGTAGGTAGCAAGCAAGCAAACTTTCCCACACCCTGCCCTTATTCTGAAAATTCACCTGAAATGTGGATTTATTCCAACACACCAAGAGTTTCTTGGATTGAAAGTGTGACAAAGATATATTGAAGTGAAAGAAGAAAGACCAAGAACTGATAAATGTGTGAAATGCAGAAAACTAAATCACTTTAGTTATGTAATAAAAATGGGAAGTTCAGACTGCAACAGCTGATTTCTGCAAGAAAGTGCAGAAAAGAGAAGAACATATTGGCTGAAAAACCTGGGAGACGAGTTTGTATACAAAACACTATTTTTAGAGCTGTCGCATCCATAACTGAAATAGCCACAATGATGTCCAACCTTCAATAAAATAGGAAAACAAGGTCCCTCTTCATACTGCTCCTGTTTTCAAAGGTAGCCATGTGGCATACAGTCTGTGTGTAATTGGGTAAGGCAGAGATTCTTGCACCCAGAAGTGTTTTGCTGTAAACTAACATCAGTACCCTCTTTTTAAAAGACTGAATGATATGTACACCAGGAACAAATGTACAGATTCAGTTTAAATATGAGGAACATACGAGAATTTAAAAATGACTGTACTGTGTACTAAGTGAAATGGACAATATGTAAAGAAATACATTCCCCATCATTATAGCCAATCAAGTCCTCTTCCACTAACTCATCATTTTTATCACACAGGAGACTGAAATTCCAGAACAAGCTTATTTTCACCCTTTTTAGGACACCATACAGAAATCACAAGGAGCCCATTACCATCGTTTTAGTCCGGGGACTTGTTTCTCCATTCCGAGATTCTTCAGGGACATCCACCTTTAAATAGGTATTTGGTGAGTTTAACCATCTTGTTTTCTCTCGCTGCTGTTTTTGTGCTAAGAATTTGAGAGGAGAAATTGGGACAGAATCATCTTCAAAGGAAAAGGCAGTCACAGTGGCTGGGATCTCAACATCACTCTTGTGCCTGGGCTTCTCTCTCACAAGGGGTTGCCGATAAGCATAGCCTGTTCTGTAACCCTGTAAAAATTTGTACAAAAATGTATGTTTATCATGCCTGGCCAACACTGATAATTAATCTCAACTCATTGGTGATTTCCAATTAAATATTCCACTAAAAAAGAAACCAATATACTAAAAGGAGGAACAGCTTTGATACCACCCTGCCTGCCAAACAATAACAAAAGAAATATTTCAGGCTTGCATTCTGGCATCCAAGTTTTTGTTGATGATCTGTGCTGTGGTGCAGACCATTACCTTTGAGCGATCACAAAAGACGGCTGTGAAACAATCTTAGCAATTTAACAGCTCCAAGGCAGAGGCCCCACAGAAAGAGTGCAAACTTGAATCTTTGTATAGTTTGGGCCACAACCCTCATCATCACTGCCATTGGCTGTGCTCAGAATGTTAGGATTTGAAACAACTGAGGGAACAAGGTTGGAGAAAGGCAGCCTCATGCACAGGGGCAAACGCCAAAAAATTAAAAGAGTGTGATGAGTGAGAGAGTTCTAATCTGAGCCTAACTGCTCATAAACCTATTCCCTCACCTTCAGCCAAATCAAGCATTTTTTGAATTATCAAAACTAAATGAAATCTGGTGTGGATGGTTTATATACAACAAAAATGACTAGCTTTATTATTTTAAATACTGTATTACTTCCACTGATTTTATAATTTTTAAAAATCTGCATGGTCTACATTTATTTTACTGTGTTTTTAGATTTAATAAGAAAACCTGAGTGTTATTGAAGGTCAAGGTACTCCCAAATCAGATCAAACAAATCAGCATGAAAAGTAGCACAGCTATTGAAGTCAATAAATACTGAATGTTCGCTTCAATGTATTTCAGAGCAGTATTTCCTAAGACTCTGTTTAATGGAAAAAGACAGACATCAGAATTGTTTGGACACAATCCCCTGGCATGCTGAGAATCCTCAGCTCGGAGTTAGTTGTGAACGCACCAGGTTATCCAGCATTCTCATCAGTGCTTCAAACTCTAGTTCCCCAATTTTCCATTTGAACTGAGAGGCCATATTAACTCCTCCACTTGTTGCCACATGGTGTGTGAAAGGTTTATACTTCTGCAAGTCTAGGACAAGAAGATTGTCTACGCCACCTGCAGCTAAGGCATGTACCTGTAAAATAAGATGACACTGTAGTCTGCATTCTTCTCATAAATACTCTTTAAAAGTAGCCTTCTTAAATTTTCCAGAAAGAAACAATCTGTTGGTATTATTCTCTGTCCAGATAAATTAACTTGCTCAAATTAATATGCTCAAAAACAATGGTCATCTTGTAAAGCAAGCATCAACTGAACACTAGAGTAATAACTTTGCAATTCTGCGACCTAGCACACTACTGGTGTTCGATAAAACTCAAAATCAGAACAAGTTATCCCTTCACCCATAATTGCTCTTTGTAGAATGATCCTACTGAACATACATTGATTAGAAGGATCATATTCAAGCACTTAAAATACTGCACATAAGGTCTCTCTCACCTGTGTTTCACAAGCTAATTGCACATTGTAGATGTAGTGGAAAGCTTCCTCTAATGTCTCCCCCAGTGCTACTATCCCATGGTTTCTCAGAACCAGGACCTAAAGAATAGAAAAATTCATAACTGGCAGAAACTGGGCAAGTGCTAGAAACTCAACAAAATTATGAACTAGAGTGGAATACCTTACAGCTTGGCCCAAGAACTTTCTGGAGTTGAATTCTCTCTTCCTGTTCATCCAGAGATCCTTGATAGTTATAGTAAGCAACATCCCCTAAAATGAGAGCTTCCTGCGAGATAGGAAGTATGCCACACTTCATGGAAGAAACCTGTTTTAAAAAATAACATTTCACAGGTGGAAGGGAGAATGAAAACTAACATAATCAATAAATATGAAAGGACTAACTGTATGAATTCCAGATTGGTGGATTAAGGCTCATTATGCAGTGGATAATGGATAAACCCCTTCACGGATTGCTGCCTTGCCGTGGTGAAGGGGCTTGAGTAATTCAGAGAAGCTATGAGCTATGCCGTGCAGGGACACCCAAGACGGACAGGTCAGAGTGGAGAGTTCTGACTAAACACGATCCACCTGGAGCAGGAACTAGCAAGCCAGTCCAGTATCTTTGCCAAGAAAACTCCATGAACAGAAAGGCTAAAACATAAGAGGCTGGAAGATGAGCCCCTCAGGTCGGAAGGTGTCCAACATGCTATGAAGAAGAGCGGAGGACAAGTGCAAGTAGCTCCAAAGCTAATGAAGTGGTTAAGCCAAAGCCGAAAAGACGCTCAGCTGTGGACACGCCTGGAAGTGAAAGGAAAGTCTGATGCTGCGACAAAAAATACTGCATACGAACCTGGAATGTAAGATCTATGAGCCCTGGTAAGCTGGATGTGGTCAAACGGGAGATGGCAAGAATAAACACTGACATCCTGTGAACTAAAATGGATGGGAATGGGCAAATTCAATTCAGACCATTATCATATCTATTATTGTGGGCAAGAATCCAGTAGAAGGAATGGAGTAGCCCTCACAGTCAACAGAAGAGTGGGAAAAGCTGTACTGGGATACAATCGCAAAAATGATAGAATGGTTTCAATACGAACCCAAGGCAGACCTTTCAACATAACAGTCATCCAAGTTTATGCACCAACCACCAATGCTGAAGAGTCTCAAATTGACCAATGCTATGAAGACTTACAACACCTTCTAGAACTGACATCAAAGAAAGATGTTCTTCTCATTATAGGGGACTGGAATGCTAAAGTAGGGAGTCAAGAGATAAAAGGAACAACAGGTAAGTTTGGCCTTGGTGTTCAGAACTAAGCAGGGCAAAAACTAATAGAGTTTTGTCAAGAGAACAAGCTGGTCATCACAAACACTCTTTTACAACAACACAAGAGGTGACTCTAGACATGGATATCACCAGATGGGCAATATCGAAATCACATTATGTTCTCTGCAGCCAAAGATGGAGAAGCTCTGTATAGTCTGCAAAAACAAGACCTGGAGCTGACTGTGGCTCTGATCATCAGCTTCTTACAGCAAAACTCATGCTTAAACTGAAGAAAGGAGGAAACACCACTGGGCTAGTCAGGTATAATCTAAACCAAATCCCTTATGAATATACAGTGGAAATGAAGAACAGATTTAAGG